ATTATTGTTATTATTGTTATTATTATTATTATTATTACTATAATCATCATCAGAATCATCATCTTCATTATTATTATAACAGTATGAAAAGAAAGACAAAATCAATGCTTTATAGATTTAGTAACTGGTAAATGGTCGAAAAATTTGTCTACTAAAGTTCAAACTTTCGCCTCGATCGAGTATCGTCAGAAAAAAAATTATGATGATATCATTAATATTATTATGACTGTTGTTATTACTGGGCGCGGCGTCAAAATAAAGAGCCCCAAACTTACCGCAAAGTAGAACTACTTTAAGAATTGTCTCACCATCAATGTATAGTGCGCTGTTGGACAGGTAATGGAAATTGGAAGCTCGATTACACAACTCACACCACCTGCATTTTTTTTTTATTTTTTTTTTTTACAAAACCAAACATGTTGTAAAAATGTATTGTTCACTGTTTAATTCCCGCAAAAGTCTGGCCCACCTGATTGACCCATTACAGGACACATTTGTTCTGCAGAAGTCAAATATTATGAAGATAGCTGTTGAAGTGTATGCCTCCTTAGCCCAATATCTATTTATGTATTTTAGATTTCAGTTTCTTAATCTGTGAGTGCAGGCTGCATGGGCTCAAAAAATATTCATTTTTCGAAGTTCAAATTCTGAATGTTGAAACAAAGCAAGACAAAATACGCAGTGTTGGTGCAATTTGTTAAAAGAATGAAAAAATTGGTTATTTCCTTTCTCCTGAAAATTTTGCTTCATTGACTCAGTGAGTTCTGACAGCTTGCTGGCGATAATTATGAGGACAGTTGTTGCTCCTGTAAACACAGAAAGGAAACCTTGACAACAATTGCGGTCGCCTTGACATAGTAATATGATGAAGGGTTCCATAACAAAAACACACAACTCGAAAAATATGGCCATTTTCTGAAAAGCTTGTCCACTCAATAATCTTATGATAAGAATTGTCGTGAGAATGTTTTTTCTTCTCATAATGTACTATTATTCTCGATATTTACAATGATAACGTTGCATTTTTTTCATAGGTGTTTTTGCGCCTACATCGACACACTTTAGATAATCTAAGAAGCGGTCTTCATATCATATTTGTCAATAACAACAATAGCGTTTGCCTTGACAGAATAAGAAGGGTACCATTACAAAAATACACCATTTGCCAAATATGGGCATTTTCAAACAAACCACGTCAACTTCATAATCTTATGATAAGAATTGGGATGAGAATATTTCTATTTCTCAAGATGCTCTATATTCTATGATATTTGGTATGACAACGTTGCCTTTTTTTTCAAAGTAGGTATTTTTACATCCCCATCGATACTATATTATAGGTCATTTAAGAAGGGGGCTTCCGACCCTGTCTGTCATGTTCAACACAGGCTGAAGAAAGGGAATCAACATCCTAGAAGAAAGATCGAGATAGGCCTATTTGATTAAAATCCTCACAACTCGAGAATCGACATGGGGTCTCCTGTGTGTGACATCCTAACCACTACACCACAGACGCCAGAGATGACATTGCGATTCGTTTACACTTTTGTTTTCAATGAATAAGTTAGATCCATTCTACTCAGTTTGTAGTAAATGGATATACCGTAACTTATTTTGCCATGTATCCCTTCAGAAACTGAAAATCGAATAAGTGTCAGCCCCGTTGTAACGAAAATAATCCGAGCGGAGATCTCTTAGGAAAGCAAATTAGAATCATCCTTTTGACAATCAATGTAAGCCACATCGACCAAATTGAGACAGTTTGAGCAGGAATGCGGTGTCCTGTTGTTGACATATTCAGACCAGTCGATCTCTTCGTCTGCCGTACATGCCATGTCTTTCTCTTATACCCAGTGCACACTCCCAATCGGATTCAGTTGAACTCAGTCGGTACCAGCCGAATGTTCCTACATGTGGAAGCGCGGGGGGGGGGGGGGGGGGATTTATTGAGCAAGGTACCGTTTTGGCACAATACTATGCCATTCGACTTTCGACCTTGAAAACCAATACACGCGCATGATTTTGAAGGTCACCGTGGAATTAAGTCGATATCGCTCATGTTGATCCAAAACGATGGCATTTGCCACCACGATGAAAGAAAATGTGACTTGATTTGTTTTAGTTTTGGTAAGTGTTTTACGGCGTTCACAGCCTCGTAAGGTCATTATATGAGCGCGTGGGGCACATTAAGCATTTTCAGTTTGGTAGGAATTAATTTTGAATTTTGCCCGGGTGGCGACCGAAGCCTGCTCTTATCGATTTTAAGACCACCAGGGTATCTTTAACGTGGACAACTTGCACACGGGACCTCCAGGATCTTTGCGCCGTTATCCGAAAAGACTAGACGTTAGATCTTGCCTTATTTATTTATTTATTTATTTATTTATTTATTTATTTATTTATTTATTTATTTATTTATTTATTTATTTATTTATTTATTTATGTTTATTTATTTATTCATTCCTTTATTTATTATTTATTTATCCATTCATTCATGTATTTATTTATTCCGTTTTCTGGGCCTGTGGCTGATCAGGATGGCCAACAACTCCCGTCAGAGTCGCCTCTCCAACAAGGACGAGCAGTTCACCTTCTCCTGGAAGTTGCTCACGGAGTGGGACTTCATGATCGCCAACCAGGAGACCGCCACCACCAAACACGCCTCCATCACCACCACCTTCAAGGTGGGCCTTTTTTCCTCAGACTTTTTGTTTATTTTAGTATGTAAGATTTTTTAAAATCAAAGACGACCATCCATTGTCAAGAGAAAAGTGATTGTCTTAAACAGTGGATGTCTTGGACAGTAACATATTATGGATATTTTTTTTATAAAAAGGGAAGCGAGTGGGAGTGGTCGTTTGTATACATGACTGCCTTGGGCGGGCAGGCAGCCGTCAGAGCAGGTTCAAGTGCACTTTGAGTGGCGGGGATAGAAGGAGAGTGAGTGAGAATGTTTGTGTGTGTGCGTGTGTGTGCCCAAGCGACAGAGGGAGGAAAAGAAAAGCAGGACCAGTGGTGAT